CCCTAATGAATATGATGTTGACACCCGGTAGCGATTTTCCTAAATATACTGCACGCTAGCACAAACCACGCCCACCATAATACGTCATATCTCATACTGTGCTCCAACGCAAGAACTGAAGCTTTCTCGTTGTCAATCTCTTGTACGCAGTTAATTCATACACCCAAATGGTCTACTGGTTAGCGCTGTCGACTCTCAGTCTGAAGGTTCATGGTTCGAATCGCTGTGAACTCGAACTTTTTTTTGCAACTTTTTTTTTTCACCAATGTTTTTTCACTTCATTCTGGTTTTCCTTTTTCATAAAATATTTGAAGTCAAATAGGTTAGTGCGTTTAGGATAAACAGTCTCATTTTATTCAATTTTGTTGAAGAACTCAACTTTTGAAATATATTATTAATCAATGTGTTTCTACACTCCATTCGGTTTTCCTTCCTCAAAAATATTGCAATCAGGGATGGGTTAGTTCGTTGAGGATAAATAGTCTCTGAGTTTTGCCTAAGTAAAGTACTTTGAAGATGAGATATAATGTGGTATGTGCTACTTTTTCAATCGATTTATTTATATGAATCAGCTACGTTGTGCTGTCAAAGATTAGATTTTGCAGGATTGTGCTGGGCTCGATTATATTTTGCAATGCCGTAGTAGGGGGCGTGTCTTGTGCTGCAATAGTTTATATTTAGTAAAATCGCCACCCGGTATACCCCGCCTCTGATGCCCTCTGTGGGGGTACAGTCCATGATACGCTTCATTTCAATTCATTAACGACTACTTTACAATATCTCGCCGATCATTCCGATTTTTAATTAGGCAACAATCATAAATTCGTGCGAGATTTATGCGGTCGGCAATTACAGATCATATCAGCGTTCGCTGTAACAAGAAGAGTAGGTATTACACCCCGGGCGCTAATTTGAATGGTTCGACGGATAGGATGGAATCTCGCATCGGGGCACTCCTCATCATCAGGTGCTCAGGCTCAGAAATGCCAATGCCTCATCTATTGTCACTGGTGAAAAACTATTCGCAGGAATCAATGTCACCAGGTGGCGCTCGGTTTTCATCGTTCCATGTCAAAGCTACGTCAAAACTGGGGGAAAACAAACTCAATCCTCACTCAATCCCCTTAGTGCCATTAGCTTGTGTACTGTGTACTGATGAGAGTGATGTTTTTGAATTTCTTGACATTAATTGTCAGTATTCGGTCGAAAACGCTAATAATGCCTGTTGGTGAATGTTCTTTTGGCAGATATTTTGCTCCATTTAGACGGAAAAAGCCGACCAGTAGGGGAAGGAGAAGCAGTTCTTCGTGCTAATCATGTGATTTTGTGTGAGGCAGAGGACTTCAACAAAAGGCACATTTTTGCACTTTGTCTACAAACTTCGGCGATGAAATCTTCCACACATGAAGTAAAATTGAAGTTGGGGTCCAGAGGAACTGCTGCAGAACAATGGATTTGTATTTGTTCATACAGAGCAGGACAATCTGGGTATTGTAAACATGTTGTAGCTGTTCTTTTATATGTCAATTGATTTGCTCGTCATGATTAGGGTCCCTTGATGGAAATTGACGTTAAAGTCATCCTAACAGGGTACGGACAGATCCTTGTCTCCTCTCACTCTAAAGTGTTTGTGAAACAGTTATATAGTTCCATCCTTATTCAATTCTAGGGAAAAACACTAGATTTTTGACATTCGTTGTTTTTAAGGTTATATTGAGGTCACTGGCGTATCATACGTAATTTCCATATGGAATTCCCGATTCAACTATACTAAGATATAGATGAACAGTACTCTAGATTTAGAGTTTACTACTCCAGCATAATCTTTGCGAGGTAGGGAACATATAAATTGTGCTGAAAGCTTAATATATTTCACTAAGAGAGACTGTTCTTAGACTGTATACTAGGGTTGACTGAATTGACTGAATGAATTCTGATTTCAAGCTGAGCAGAAGTTTATCTATCAGCTTAATGAGCTGAGCCTTATGATTGAGAAATGATGGAAACCGAAACTACTGTACTTATTCATGTGTGCTCAATATATTTTTGGAAATCCAGCTCGGTGAAGAATTTATGGAGTGACTAATATCACGTATATCATGTATAAAACTTTGTCTAGGAAGAAAAGTAGGCTGATAAAAAGTAATACGTAAAATATGCAGGAAAATAAAGAATAGAATATACTTTACCCCCATGTTATACATATGATTTTTCCGTCCCCCTCAAATTAAAAGTCATTTTCGAACAATTGATTGATAAAAGTAACAAAGATGTAGGTATACGTAGTATAACTTATAGTCACGCTATTTTCACTCTTGCATCCTACATATTTTCTATTTGTGGTATAGTAATGATCATATAAACTAATGTCTTTCGCCATATCGAATCCGCCATCTTGAATTTTCCAATTTTGACGAAACGATCATTATGTCCTACCCCGGAAACCCCCAGATACCAATTTTGAATAGGATCGAATCTCCATTACAAAACTCGTCCACCATAATGGATCCGCCAGCATGAAAATCCCAATTTTGACGAATTAATTATAATTTCCGACCCCACGGAAATTCACATATACCAATTTTGATTTTTGAATAGAATCGGATCATAATTACAAAATTCGTTCGCCATATTGGATCAGCTATCTTGAATTTCTCAATTTTGACAAAGAATCATAAAGTTCGACCCCGAAAACCCCCAGATACCAATCTTAAATAGAATCAGATCATAATTAGAAATTTCTTTCGCTATACGGGCTGATTCACGGTGGCAGCGCTGAGAATATTTCAGGTCGATAGAACACAACTAATTATTCAAGGCACCAACTTTTCAGAATAATCCTGAGTTGCGTTTTCCAGAAACGTCTAATGTGCCATCCACCGTGAATCAGCCTGTATATTGGATTGGTCATCTCGAATTTTCCAAGTTTGACGGAACAATCATTATCACCAACCCCGGAAAACGCCAAATATCTTCCAATTTTGAATAGAATCGGATCATAATTACAAAACTCGTTTGCCATATCAGAGATAAGTTACCCAATATATATACAGAATTTTTCGAATTTCAGTATCAATATTTCAGGGGTTATTTTTCAGATCAACATAAAACCTGATAAAACGCTTTGATAGGTAGGTACCGATCAACAGATCGTTAAAATTTTGAGATTTTTTTCCTCCAAAGCTCTTCTAGATTTCGGGATATTCAATGAAACATTACGTGTTAGGGATCTTCATATTACAGTATGCTGAGTGATTTTAAGAATCTAGAAGGAAATATTTCCTCAGGGGTCAAAATGCCCTTTTCCCTGCGCCATACTGGTATAGATTTTGAAATACCAAATGATTTGTTTTGTTATGAGGTATAAACTTTTTTGTCTTGTAATTAGATTGCATCGAAATTTCATCATAAGGGACAAACCTATATTATCACAATGAAAACAAGAACATTTCATTATTTTTTTTTTTTTTTCGTTTAAATAGGTACCTATAGGTAAATAAAAAATACTAATTTATGAACAAAAACCATTCACAGTTCATGTTCACATGAAAACGTTCGTCTTCCTAACTTCTCTATATCAGAGATCTATATGAAATTTGATGGAACATTGATATTATTTTCAAAAAAACTATTTCTACAAGCAGAGGTTATCTTTATTTCTGGCTCCATAACCAACCGTCCTTGAGAAATCAGCTACCGCATAAGCTAAGTTCTCGCATATACTCAAGGTTGGTAGAATCGATGATCATTCGTACAAATAATCATCAATTCTACCAACCTTGCATATTCTGACCACCAATGCCATCTGTCTGTATATCACTGACCCAAAATCAGTTGTGGCCAAATCGCCCATAAGAAAAGTACATCTTAGTGGGTAACTTATCTCTGGCCATATGATCTTCAACAAGTAAACATCCTGTACATACCTATTATTGAAATTTTGAATGATTTTTTGTAGCGCCCATGGATGTGACGTGACAGCAATGTCAGTGATGCCAGTAGACAAAACTAAAGTCTCTAGATCATTAAAAAAGAATGCAGCTATGATCTGTCCGTACCCTGTTAAGATGACTTTAACGTCAATTTCCATCAAGGGACCCTAGTCATGATTAGTTTGAATTGTTCAAACTATCTCCAATTCTTCACCTGTTCACTGTTCACTGAACTAATAAGAATGTAATGTAAAAAAATCAACCAACTCAACCATCATCACTACCAACAGTGCCAACACTTTATGTCATTGACAAGTTTGACTACAGCTACAGCAAGCTGAACGCAATGTAGTCTATGCACTTTATCCATAGACAACAGTTTGTTTTCCCCCAGTTTGAAGTTCGTATTATGTAACCTAGATGTCGCTCACTTCGTGAATCTCGGGAATAGTTCACTGAAAATTTCACACCTAACATTTTCGATCAATTTAAAGCCTGAATTTCGTATCGTTACCATAGCAACTAAACCAATTTCTTGGAAACTGACTAGACAAATTTTTGGGATATTGAACTTTAAGAAGCATTTCGTATTACTTTTTGGTAAAGGGTGTTTTTCTACTATTTCGACCCTGCTGAATTCGAAAATGCCGGTTGCCAAAGTGAAATCGCAACCGGAAGTGAGATTTTCAAGATGGCGTCCGAAATGGCATCAAAACAGAATTTTGCTGCTAAATCTCCCTTGTTTGAGGTAGGAACGCGACCAAAGGGTCTCTTTATATGTTTTCAGACATGAAGAAAACAAAAACACACAAACTAAACTCGTTCGTTGAATATAATTTCTAAAAAATATGATAAAAGCGGTCAAAGTTGCCCTTTTTGGTTTTTAGCAAACAATTAATATACTTTGACTAATGTATTATATCGTTCTATGCACATCTGAGACATTTAATGTAACACTTAAAACAAAAGGTATTTCTTTAGAAAGAAGTGAAATTATTGTGTGTCTCCAGAGTTCAGGCAAGAACATTTACAGGGAGTGCACAGTTTGATGCAAGAGACATTGGCTTTTCTACAACTGCAATTTTTTGTATTACAATGTCCTTTGCAATGACAGACAACTATTTCTGGGCACGTCTCAGGAATGGGATCCAGTGTTATTAAACGAGGAACAACTTGTTCTCTCTGCACAATCCAGCCACAGTCCTGCAGCCTAGGTAGTGACGGTTTGGGGATATGCGCATTCTCCCAAACACACACCTGAGATAAAAACATATATATATATATTATATTCATTTCGTTTTCATTTCTGTCAATTTGCGTTTTAGGTACGCTTACCTGGTAGTTGCATCTCTTAATATAGAGACGAAGTGCATCAGTTGTCGGTGGGAGAAATTCTGGCTTTCTTACAGCTCCAAATGAATAACTTCGGGCATCGTTTGAGCATGTGATGCTGGAATCAACCTGTATGAAATCAGAATTTCTGTGTGTACTTCATTTTAATTCAATATCATCTGGAAGATATTTAAGTGTAAGCATTTTTACCTTATACAGTTTGACGACAAATTTCTCGACATTGCTAAGGACGTCCTCCTCAAGTGGCGACTGTCCGAGGCGTCCCAGAGGCTCGCAGTTTGTCCCAGAAAAAGCCTTCCATGCTCCAACTTTCGTGATAGACGCCAACTTAGACTTCGGCTCGCAGCCGGTTATTGCATGGAAAGCAAGAAGATGGGAGACTTGTTCCGGCATAAGATTTCTGCATATATCATGTACAGGAATGCACTTGGTGTCACGTGCAGTGCCACTCATTACCCACAAATGGGAGCATTTCATTTAAGCGAAGTGGTAGATAAGAAGAAGAACAACGTCGGTGTCCCTCGTCATCACAACAACGTTATGAGCTGTGGTGTGAACGGCATGAAGAACCATGCGCGTGTCAGCTTCCTCGTGTGATGATTTCAGGCAATCAACATTCCGACGCAAATTCGTGGACTGAGCATGTTCTTCCTCAGTGAAGCCGCCGGAGATAACTACTTCAAGATCGCCAAAAATATGTTGCATAATTCTCTCGGACAAAAACCTGCATAAATCAGTTTTGTTTTCTGATAAAAACAAGAAGTTACTCCAGTTCTTTGGCAGCGGCACGTTGCAGTCCTCAATGTCTCTGCGCACGAAAGTTGGAGCATGGAAGGCTTTTTCTGGGACAAACTGCAAGCTTCTGGGACGCCTCGGACAGTCGCCACTTGAGGAGGACGTCCTTAGCAATGTCGAGAAATTTGGCGTCAAACTGTATAAGGTAAAAATGCTTACACTTAAATATCTTACAGATGATATTGAATTAAAATGAAGTACACACAGAAATTCTGATTTCATACAGGTTGATTCCAGCATCACATGCTCAAACGATGCCCGAAATTATTTATTTGGAGCTGTAGAAAGCCAGAATTTCTCCCACCGACAACTGATGCACTTCGTCTCCATATTAAGAGATGCAACTACCAGGTAAGCGTACCTAAAACGCAAATTGACAGAAATGAAAACGAAATGAATATAATATATATATTTTTTTATCTCAGGTGTGTGTTTGGGAGAATGCGCATATCCCCAAACCGTCACTACCTAGGCTGCAGGACTGTGGCTGGATTGTGCAGAGAGAACAAGTTGTTCCTCGTTTAATAACACTGGATCCCATTCCTAAGACGTGCCCAGAAATAGTTGTCTGTCATTGCAAAGGACATTGTAATACAAAAAATTGCAGTTGTAGAAAAGCCAATGTCTCTTGCATCAAACTGTGCACTCCCTGTAAACGTTCTTGCCTGAACTCTGGAGACACACAATAATTTCACTTCTTTCTAAAGAAATACCTATTGTTTTAAGTATTATATTAAATGTCTCAAATGTGCATAGAACGATATTATACATTAGTCAAAGTATATTGTTTGCTAAAAACCAAAAAGGGCAACTTTGACCGCTTTTGTCATATTTTTTAGAAATTATATTCAACGAACGAGTTTAGTTTGTGTGTTTTTGTTTTCTTCATGTCTGAAAACATATAAAGAGACCCTTTGGTCGCGTTCCTACCTCAAACAAGGGAGATTTAGCAGCAAAATTCCGTTTTGATGCCATTTCGGACGCCATCTTGAATATCTCACTTCCGGTTGCGATTTCGCTTTGGCAACCGGCATTTTCGTAATCAGCAGGGTCGAAATAGTAGAAAAACACCCTTTGCCAAAAAGTAATACGAAATGCTTCTAAAATTTTAATGGAGGCCTTTTTTGGATTTTTCGACTAGACTTTTATTGGGGGACGGAGCATGAAATTACATTGGAAATTTTTTGACGTTTATGGGTTGAATGACATTTACATTCAACTTCAGATTATTTCGAGTTCATTCTATAAGTCAATAAAAAAAAATCATTTATCAACAGTTTTCCATTGAATATTTCGCGCTCTAGATACAAAAATAACTATTTTGCCAATCTGTATACCTACTTACATAGACTTTTTGATGCTTCATAGTAGGTACTGAAAGAAATTTTGCTCCAGGTCACACTTCAAGAATATTGGAGCTTTTCTCAAAGGATATAATAGTGAATAAGTAATGACATCACACACCAATAACATCATAAGTACATCAAAAACCAATTTAAAAAATTATACCGTGTTCATAATGAATGATAGTTTACATTTCGGGAGTTAAAACAACCTTATCGTTTGGATCAAGAACCCATCAACTTACATGAAATTCCACCTGTCCGTAATGGCCTAAATGGTATTAAAAGTGAAGCGATGCCGAGCGATAGTCAAATATTTTAATATACAGTGTGTCCCTCCTGAAATTTTAGTGGTGATTGTATGTTAGAACAATGAAGTATTTAGCAGAGTGAACACTTTCATTCACCATTGGCGTGCAATGTTGAGGGGTACAAAAAAGGTTATTATTAGGGCTTATTTCAAATGACTGACTTTATCAGATTCAGAATCAGCTTCCCCAAAAACCCCCTGTTATATCACAATTCAATAAACACGAGCACAAATGACGTGGACAAGGGTTACACTTGCTCTTAATTCTGCTGCCTGCCAAACACTGTATGAGCCAGTCTTCACACATGTCTGTCATAGGCTCTGATCTAAGCACATTCCACTGAGCGGTAGCGCATCTAGTTGCTAGATGCTAACACCCCCCAATTCATATTTTCGAAATCTGAAGAAAAATTAAAAATGTTGATGTTCATGACTGCGCCCCAAAATTGAAAGATTAATCGACTTACCTGAAGGAAGATTGATCCAAATTTTCCTTCGCTCGTCTTCCGACATAACGGGTACCGGCACGTATGAGATTCGGAAACTACAGTGTGTGTAATTATGTCGGAAGACAAGCAAAGGAAAATCTCAGTTATTAATGATGCGATTTTCTCGAAACTGTGATGGTGATTGTATGTTATTTTTTTAACATACAATCACCATCAAAATTTCAAGAAAATCGCATCGTTGATATCTGCGATTTAAGGGTGTTGTCATGAAAAGCGGCATTTTGAAATATTTTATTTTAGCCCTTGGGATCTTGAAAATATGAATTGAGGGATTTTCGGAGAAGCTGATTCTGAATCTGATGAAAAAAGTAATTTGAAATGAGTCCTAATATTCTTTTCCCAAATCAAGGCCTTATTTTACCCCTCAACATCGCACGGCAATGGCAGAATTGAACTGTTTATCCTGCTAAATATTTCCTTATTCTAACATACAATCACTACAAAAACATCAGGAGAATCGCACCATTAATAACTAAGATAGGTATCAGGGTGTATTCATGGAAAGCAGGACACACTATATAGTAAGGCTCACCTCTATGAAATCCACATTTTGGATCCAAAATTTCTTTTTAACAGGAAGAGCATCAAAAAGTCTAATCAACAGGGTGTTTCTGAATTCTAGTAACCATATAGCAAAGGAAATATTATTTCTTTTGAAATGAGGAGAAAGTTTTCATTCTCCTTGCTGGGTCAGAACAAGGGTAGAAAAACATAGTTTTGAGATGATTAACGTTTTTTATTTCAATCCCAATTTTGACGTATAGTGATGTGATAATAATTGTTTCAACAAAATATTAAATTTGTTTCAAATGTGCCATCGATTCAGTCAACAAAGAAACTGCATTCTTATTGATGTTTGTTGGTATAACTGTTTTTTGTTAGTGTTTGATGATATTTTGTTGACTGAACTAAATTCAAACTATTGATTCAACATCGACAGTGTTTTTGAATCATCAAGAATGTTGTCAACTCTATATTTTTGTTGTTGTCTGATCGAATTATATTATTGATATGAATACCTTACACTACACTATTTTACCACTAACCAAACCGATTTTTTAACGCCTCGACACGTGTTTCGCTAACTATGTTAGCATCATCAGAAGAAGATTAAAACTGTTTTAATCTTCTCCTGAAGATGCTAATATAGTTAGCGAAACACGTGTCGAGGCGTTAAAAAATCGGTTTGGTTAGTGGTAAAACAGTGTAGTGTATTATCGTGCCAAAGGTTCTAGCGTTCTAGTCTTCGATTTATGAATACCTTAGTTGATTTTATGAAATGAGTCAATATCATATTGATTTCACAAACATGTTTTGAACTCAACAAAAATTATTGAACAAAATAATTATTTGAAGGTGAGCTTAGTGCGGAAGTCAGCATGCCCATGGTGTTTGGCCTCTATAGGTTTCAGACAGTTTTAGGAAATGTGTCAAAAATACTACTTTTTTATTTGGTGTTTTCACGTTTTTACTATTGCACCATTCAGTAAATCCCGTGTAGTGCTTCTCATACCTTTCTTAAGACTTCGTTGGCAATAACTCATCTTTATCGCATCTGTAGCTGAAAGTTTTTCATCGCAATTCCACTGAATCGAAAATGACAGTAACGCTCTATCTGTCACTCTGAGAATTGAACTAACTTATTTGTGTTTTGATTGACATGACAACAATTGTTTTCCACATCAGATCAATTAAAGGCTTTAGGGGGATTTATATAACAATCACTTATTATTTTTCAATATTTCTTCATTTTCACAATAAATAGTGCAATTTTTTGGATGATTTTGTACAAACTTACTAAATACTGCAACAAAAAACCTAAAATGTTCATATTGTGTCCCCCACCACTCAAATTTTGCGAAAATATTATATACAGAGTGACCCATATTTGAAAGCGGGCCACCCCTGTATATCACGTAATCGTTGGTTAAGGATCATGAAATTTGCTGAAACGAGAGATATACCAAAAATGCACTCTATGACCAAGTGGGGTCATCCTCAGTGATATACACTGCTCGCCAACAGCCATGGAACCACCCCAATTTCCGGAAAATGATATTAGGAGTCAAAATAGGTTGAAAATCACTTCGGATTCGGAATCAGGACGCCCAATTCACTAACTCTTCATATTTCTCCTTGAAAATTTTCAGTTCTGAAAAATTAAATTTTGTCGCACTTTTCACGGAAGCACCCCCGTATCTCACGTAATTGACTTCATCTTTGGACTTTCCGTTCCTCCTGCAAATTTTAGAACCCTACCACAATAATTACGTGAGATACGGGGGTGCGCTTCCATGAAAAGTGCGACAAAATGTAATGTTTCAGAACTGAAAATTTTCAAGGAAAAATATGAATAGT